GCCTGGACTATATCAGGTACAAAATAATTGTTATTAATAATAATAATAATGTTTATTGGACGTATTCAATTTACATTGTTTGTCACGTCAAAATGGTATATGAGATAAAAACGAGTACCTATAGGTATATAAATATTTCACACATTAAAAATATCACAGTATGTTAGGAACTACAAGACTAGATTCGCGTGCATTAAGGAGTATTCATATATTCTGCGATGCTGTAAAAACAATTTTGCAACAAGAGTTTTTTAACATTAATTTTTAATTTGGGCAATGACATTAGTTTTAATTGACTGTCCAATTTGTTGTAGAGTTTTACATTTAATGAGTTTCTGTCGGACACACATAGCTTAAATTTTGGGGGTAATAACAATTGACAATGGCGAGTGTTGTAATTGTGGTTGCTCCTATCTGATACTTCTCCTTTAGAGATAGTTAATTTATGGATATCAACTAATGTGTTGGTAATGGCATTATTTTAAAATGTTTATTTTGACAGGGGGTAGCACGCGCAACGAGTTTAAAGGCATGACGCGCAGCTGGGTGCCTTTAAACGTTGCAAGTGCTTTATATACACGCGTTTCTTATAGTATTTTTTTATTACTTATAACTGCAATATACCTAATTTAAAAATAAGGGAAATAAAATGAAATCATATTGACGTTATACTCGAATACTTTTCTAATTAAGTGGGCTGATTATTTGTCATTCCATGATTGCCATGGAAATGTCACTTGACGTTCGCGTATAATAAAAATCACCGTCCGAAGACAATGCACCGTCTATTCAGTGGCTTCTTGCTGCAGCAGAAGAACCTGTAAAATCCAAATGCAAAAGCCTATTATAAAGAATATATGAATAACTGTTGGCGTGGATTAATAGGAAGCATTATCTTTCAAACAAGGTCTATGCATCGTTCATGCTGTCATATATGAACCCTTCGATGCATTCATTCAAAACTTTAATCAATATTGTGATTAGAAAGTGGAACAGATTTGGCAGCATACGTACTCTTAACAACGTGCGTTTGTGAAAGCTTCCCACAAAGGATACGAGTCAAAGACACCTTTTTCATTTGCAAAAAGCGATCCGAGAAGATATTTTAGTTCAATCCCAAATTACAAATACAGTTTCATATGTCATATTTGAAGTAACGTTACTTAGCAACCTTTAAAGCTTGGCGTGTTTTAATTGCCTTTTTACGCATGCTCAGGCGTGTTTTAAACAGCGATTCTGATGCAGGTATAATAAAAAAAACCGTTTTTATTATACCTGAATCACAATCTCCGTTTTAAACACTCAAATGCGTGCGAAAAAGGGCCTTTAAAACACACGTGCTTTAAAGTTGCTAAGTAACGATACTTCAAGTATGACTTTTGAAACTGTCATCTGGATGAAATAAAAAATCCTCTTAGGTCGCTTTCTGTAAATGCAGAACATTTCTTTTGCTTTTGTACCTATCCTTTGGTTGAAGCTTTCACAAACGCGCGTAATTTAGGGTATGCTTCCAAATCTGTTCCACTTTTTAATCGCAGCATTGCTTTAAAGTTTTGAATGAATGCACCAAAATATAGAATATTTAAATACCTTTGACATTTCCTTCATATATGCCAGCATTATGGATGCATTTAAGACTATATTCGTAAGTAACTTCCTATTCATCCATGGAAACAGCTTTTCATATTCTTTATAATAGGCTTTACTGTAGTTGGATTTTACACCTACCAACGTTTGTTTAGATTTTACAACAATCGATTTAATGGACGGTGTATTATCTTTTTCAACGGAAATCGTTTAATTCACAAAGACGATGATTTTTATAAGCAAACGTCAAGTGACATTTCCATGACAATCGTGAAATTACGAACACCCAGCCCACTTAATTAGACATGTATTCGAGTATAACGTCAATATGACTTCATTGTATTTCCTATTTTTAAATTATACTGCAGGTATAATAAAAAATACTATAAGATACACGTGTATAATTGGTCTTTAAAGCACTTGCAACGTTAAAGGCACTCCGCTTTGCGTCGTGCCCTTAAACTCGTTGCGCGTGCTTTAAAGACTTGATTATACACTTGTATCTTAATATACTATTTTTACATGTTTCATAATTTTACACTTTTGTCGTTTATTAACGATCCTAGAGATCATTTATAATTTTGTATTGCTGTCGGTCGTCTGTCTGTTGGTCTGTGCGTCTGGTCGTGTGTCTGTCTGACCATCTATCTGCCCGTGTGAACGATAACTTTGTTTAGAAATGTCCGATCGCTTTGAAATTTGGTACACATGTTCTTAGTTAAAAGTAAAATTGATGCTTATTTAAAAAAATTGTTTTGCGCATACGCAGTCCAATTTTTTCACTTGTTAAGGTATTTAAATGGAATTTTGTATGTAGGCTCCTAGAATAAAAGTAAGACCGAGAGTAAGACTAAGGCCAATTAGAAAATTGGGTTTGCGCATGCGGATCTAATTTTTTTAATTTGTTAGGATATTTAAATGAAATTTTGTATGTAAGCACCTCGAGTAAAAGTAAAATTAATGCCTATTCAAAAAATATGCAATCCCATTTCTAGCGGATTTCCATAAAAATAAAAAAAGATGCACTATTGTGGCCACTTTGTCCGCCGGTCCGTCCGTCCTTCCGGCCGCTACTACATCTTTATCTTAAGAGCTATCGTTCTACTTTTTTCGCTATTGGCTTCGATATGTGGTCGAGGCTTGCACCAAGGAAGGAATTTTTTCTGCGTTTCTATTTTTGTAAAAAATCAATTTTTTCATGTACCATAATTTTACACTTTTGTCGTTTATTAACGATCCCCGAGATCTAATTTTGTATTGTCTGTGTATCGGCCTGATGTTGTCTGTGTGTCTGCTGTCTGTCTGTCCATCTGTCTGCCCGCCCATTGTTTTACAAGCTATGTTGATCTGAGGAGACAGAATCAACCCCTTAAGAAGGTGTGTTGTAAGATTAATGGATGCACGAAGCTCTCCATTATCGTTCGGTATTCAGTTGCTGAAAACGAATTTGGCTGAAGTAACTAATTTTTTCGGACTGTTAATGTGGAAATGCGCTTTTTGTAAATCGTTTACCATTACTTTTTGAATTTGTTTTAATTTTTATTATTATTATTTAAAAAAAAAATCTTATTTTTTTACTGTTTTTAATAGTAGGTCATGGATTCATGGAGATTTTGTTTTGTTTATTGTATCCATAGTAACTAAGGCAACAAATACCAATCACGCTGACAGTAGAAATATGCATTTCAAAATGTTGAAAAATGCGATATACCTAATGTAATATTCAGGGTGCGCTATTAGTGTGTGGATGGAAGGTTGTGGGTTTATTTAACGCGCATACTTAAAATTCATTATGGGGGAATGTTGAAGGACCCTTCAGGCTACAACCTAAAAATATTTTCAACGAAATTGCAATTGTTATACAGGGTGATATATCGAAGTTGCATTTTTTAAATGGAACCCTCTGTATATTATTACATATTTGGATTCCTTGGTCAATTTGAGTGTGACTATTACACATGATATCTAAAGTGAGTCGTTAATTCGTCGTAGATGTCCAGTAAAAATTGAATATCACAGTTATCATAAAACTTAGAAGGCCGTGACTTTGCAGTGGTACTAATCATGAAATGTACTAACCACTCCGTCAATTTTCAAAATTTCACTCAAAGGTAACTTAATTTTTTTAAATGAAACTAGTTTTTTTTATCGCATCAAATGTAGGATTTGATTACCTTTTTAACAATATAAGCATGTCGATATTTATTTTTTACATATTTTTTTGTAATTCAACAATTTCTAATAATTCACAGTGTTTTTCGGTTTCCAAAGCCTCTCAATTAATATATAAAATATATAAAAATAAATAATATATAAAAAAAATATAATATATGAAATATACAGGGTGATTCCTATAGTACCTGCCACCGTTTGGGAGCGTGTAGGTGGTGCGTAGGGGAGTATTTTGATATAGGACACTTGGGGTCGGAAATCTAAAATAAGGGTGCCAGAGCCAAATTTACCTTCTGGAATTTCGCGCCTGTAGGTAGGCAACCCAACCGACCGGCGGTGCACACGGAGCGATCTCAGGCGGCGATGTGTGGCTGACACTTGATCAGAATTTTGTTTAAACCCACGAAATCCCGTCTGCAACGACGCGTATCAAGTGAATAAACACTATGGCAATAGTATAATAATAGTTGGCTAGATGTAGGAAGTGCATTGAGAACAACGGTGGCCACGTTGAACACTTGTAAACGTTATTGCTTTTGACTGTCGTTTTCCCTCCTTCCCTCCCATGTCGCTTCCTCGCGCTAACTCGCTCTGCATCGCTCCGCGCGAAACGTCGGTCGGTTGGGTTGCCTACATACAGGCGTGAAATTCCAGAAGATAAATTTGGTTCTGGCGCCCTTATTTTAGATTTCCGACCCCAAGTGTCCTATATCAAAATACTCCCCTAGGCACCCCCTATACGCTCCCAAACGGTGGCAGGTACTATAGGAATCACCCTGTATATAAAAAATACATCTTGTTTTTTTTAGTAATAATCAATATGGTTTTGTTGAGGGTAAGTCACTTGAGGACGCTCTGTTGTCTTTCTGCGCGAGTATATTTGGTGGTTTAAACTCAAATCAAAACATTGCAGGGCTTTTCTTTGACATCACCAAAGCTTTTGATTCAATGGACCATATCGTCCTTACAACAAATGTATGAAGCAGGTATAAGGGGAGTTGCACACTGGTTTAAGAGTTATTTGTCGGATACAAACCATTGTGTACGTAGATGTAGATGGAGTTACAAACCTATTTTAGCTTATTTTCTTGTAACAGAAAGTTTCGCCTATTTTTTTCCAAATTTTGTAGAGATCGCAATATATGACAGTCATGGCCGAGATAGGAATGTTTGATACACTTTACGGAATGTCTTCAAGACGTGTCACAGTACTTGCTTTACTCTATATCGAAAAAAAAACATCGATTTCATACTTTTATTGGAAACTATTTACTTATAATAGTTATTTCTGTGCGGAGTTGGCATTAACAACACCTCTTCCTGCCTCCATCGCGCCCACAATTGCCACTGTAACACAAAATGAAATAAACTTAATAAAAGTATTACTTATTTGCGTTTGCTTAACTAATCACTTTTTGAAATGTGTCTATTATTAAAGAAGATTTTGATTTATGTATCATACGACACACGAATTAATGTAGAGGGCACAAGTTTTTCACTAAAAAAACTTCTTTCTCACCAATCTGGTTGGGAAAATGGTAAAACACATTGGCTTAATGTTAATTTACGTAACTATGATCACAAAAAGCCACTTACCAAAGTTCTCCACTGCATCGATCAGGAGCTATACACGCACAATTCCAAACATCCTCTCGACAAGCGGCCATTACTGCCGCAACCAAAAGCGTAAAAATTATACTTCTAAGAACGAAATGCATTGCGACCAAGCTTTGACTAAAACAGTCCCAAAATCGAGGTGCTTTATACTACTGGGTAAGTGGTACATTTTATCTAATATTCTCAAACCCGTATCTCTAGCAGATTATTTCACAATCTTGAAGATTAGAAACTAAAGTTGTAATTTTAGCAACTCCTTCACTCCTTCATGGTGTCGATCGGCAGTTTTTATGCTTGTTCATTTAGCTGCTCTTGAATGGTTATAGGAATCTCTTTGAGTCATTGATCGACGTTTCTGTTTTTCAGGTAATTGTTTCGTCATAATTATCACAATATCAGACAAAGTTTGGAGTAAACATTTCAAATAGACATAGATAGTGAACGCAAGGGCTGATAAATGGTTGAGTGGTTAAAGGGAATCGTTTTGTTTACTTCAATGGAACATGTGACACGTGTTAAATTTTTCGACTTTGAATATAGTATCTAACAACCCAAAACGCTTCATTTTGTTTAAACTTTTAATATGAAATATAGTTTTTCAGCAACTGTCAAAATAACCTGCCATTTACTGACGAATTTCGAAGCACGAAGTACTAGACTTTTAAACGGTTAATTAATAAGTAAAGTTGGGCTACATAGCCGGGAGGCGTATTGGCATTCTGTACTATTATTCAGAGCAGCTCTGGTCTGATTCGCAGTATACTATGGGTTCACGTTATGCGCAAATTGATAATACATTATGTACTGCGATTCAGAGCACCGATATGGTTTAGACTTTAGAGTTTTGAAACGCTGTATGTAATGGGTTTCTACAAAGCGCGTGTACCTTAGCCAAATTATACTGCGATTCAGAAAGAATTTCAAATCGTGCGGGAGAAAAGTTTGGTATCTCTAAACTCTTGTGGTTTGTGTGTAATCAAGGTTCTCAAACTGCACTAAAATGAACTATAAAGAGGTTTTGGTTGAAATGTGCAACGAGAATACGTTTTCAATGATCGAATATTTGGAACTAGTAGAACATGAATTTAAAGCGAAACTTCGACTTAAAAACGGGGTGAAGATATTAACAGGGTTTGGTGCGACAAGTGCTTAGCTGATTTTAGTAATAAATCAAACACTAAACCGAGCACTAAACCATATCGGTGCTCTGAATCGCGGTATATAATGTATTATCAAATTGCGCATAACGTGAAGCCATAGTATACTGCGAATCAGACCAGAGCTGCTCTGAATAATAGTACAGAATGCCAATACGCAGCCGGGAGGTCCGGTGTTCGAACCTGGGTTGAGGTGAATTTTTCTTCTGTGGCTGAGCTGGGAATTTCCTTAGATCAGTTTCGAGCATTCTGATTCCGAATTACATTTTCCTGCAGTTTTCCTAATTCGTAAGGTAAATACCGGAGTAGTATAGAACAACTTAAGACCTTCTACAGAGGCACCTCTAAAAAGCATTATGCGCGGATCACTCTTGAATTGCGCTCATTGGACAAATACACGTCTAGTGCGCCAAAGACAGTCAATTTGCAACTTGTTACATAAATAGCTATAAGTGAGGGACAATAAATAAAAAATAAAATAAAACTTGCGTGAAAACGTCAGCAGTGTCATGCCCCATTTCCATAGTTGAGTTCCCTACGATTCTACTGGGTAAATTGCAAACAAGATATGAGGGAATGGTGCAGAAACTGTGCAGTTTGCGCCACAAGCAACGGACCAGTAGGAAAGAAGAAGGCACCAATGAGGCAATATAATGCAGGTAGTCCGTCTGAAAGAATAGCCATTGATATCCGCAGGCTCTTTCTCAGAAACAACTACTAGAAACAAATACGAGTACATCTTGGTGGCCATGGCCATGCCAGCAAATGGAGAGAAGGAATAAAATGGATAAGATCCTTGGAATAACTGCCATAGCAACATGTATCCCATTGGTTGACGCAATGGCAACCAACCTCGCAACCGTCGATATTTATTCTAGGTAAAACTTTTTCCCGGTATATACCTGTATTGCAGTATCGGCCCTAAGAGAAATTTACTTTCAATTTCCCGAGTGCATGTTTCCTACAGGAGCAGGGGCGACTTCTTTATTATCTGGAAACAAAAGACATAAAACAAGAGTTGCCTAGGACTGTATCTCCGCTACAACCGTCGTCCGTGTTGCAAGACGCAACAGTTTTAAGGAGGGGGCAGTGTATCGAAGATTTCAGTAATTTCTATAGACATCGAGGCGCCATGAAAGATTAATCATTGGCGATAAAGAACGAAGGCGGATCTGACGTAATCTTTCATGAGATTTATGACGTAGGTATTTGTTGGAGAACCTTCTGAAGCGCCTTGGACACTCCAGAACATTCTAGAAAGAATATTGGTAACTGTATAAGCAAATAGTGTTTCGAGTTAGTTCTTATTTCGATGCGTTCTTGTTATGATATATATCGTGAGTGATAAATTGTAATTACTGTTATAAATAAACGACGTAATTAAATTTTTCTATTTCGGTGTCACAATGATGATTTTGTACAACTGTTTTCGGCCGAAAACAGTTGTACCTACAAAGACAGTGATTATAGTCGTTTTTTTTTTGGTAACTCATCTCTTAAGTTGGCAGTTACTAGTTAGTACAAGTAGGTACTTTGTTGGGTACTTCCATGTTTGAACTTCAAAATGTCAGTCTTACTACGCTGCCAACCTAAAACTTAACGGCATAAAAAGTGTTCCCAACATAAAACATGTTAGATCTAATGTTCCCTATAGTTTCTGATAATGATTTTTTTAATTAAATTAAAGCACCGAAATAGAAAAAATAGTATGAAAAACGCGTGTTACAATGCTTTATTGTAATACTCCTATCTTGCGGACACTCGTGGCTACGCTTCGCGTCGCCACTCGTGCCACAAGATAGTCGTATTACAATAGGTCGCATTGTAACACTTGTCTTTCAATATACTATTACGTTACAATAGTAAATTGTGTAGATCAGTCTGTTACGTTCACTTTGGGCCAACGTGACAAAATTACCTTAGATAAGCACACGGTAAGCTCAGGCAAAGTAGAGGTGGGTCGGGGTGAAAATGGGGTTCTTCTATACACACACACAAATAAGCCAAAAAGGGAAGGAAACAGTAAAAGTAATCCGGATAGGCGCCACTTAGTCTTTGATGAATCTAGAGAGAGAGGAATACTAAAGGGATGAACAAGGCAGACCAAGAGATCCTTGTTCTCGTCTTACTAAACTCAAAGGAATACACAATTATGGGGAAAAACAAACAGTATTTGATGTCATAAATGCGGGTAGTTTAATAACAAAGATCTCAAAATATCACAAATCTGACACTGTAATATATCGATCTAGTATATCAAACTGGGAATTTAAAATAATCTCTAATAAAACAAATGAGAAGCCAACACGTAGCCTGGGAAAATATTTATCCAAAAGGGCTTCCGCAGAAACAACGGAGCTATAATCATTAAGTGACTTTCAAACAAAGTAATAATCACAACTCGTTAGTATCAACAACCAAAATGTAATCAAACGTTAAAAGGGAAAAACGACGAAAATAACTAAATTTACCTTGAACTCCGGTCGCAACCTTCCGAGCTCAGAGGACGCGAAACTGCAAATCTGAAACAGTCAGACACAAAAACAAAAAAATATAAGAAGGGTAGTGATTCGCGTTGCACAATATATCGCATAAGCAATGGTTAACGTAAGACACGAATGGTTATTCTTATACGTAGAATTGCAATCAATGACTTTACAACAAAATAAAATTTGGTTCGACTAAGGGTTGGTTTTCACAATCGGTATGAGAAATAAAAAAATGAAATAAAGTTTTAAGAGAAAAATACTACAAAATGTACAAATAAAATAACTGAATCTATCTTCAATAACAAAGCAATCTTATCAATTCAAATGAAAACAAACTTACACGAGCAAGTTCTTCAAAGTAAAATACATAACGTTAATTAAAAATTTACACAATACCAACTCCACACGTCTCGTTAATTAAGTACTTGCGTTTCGGAAGAATGTCAACGAACTTCGTAAAATTGGGTCATCAGTTCAAATATCGGTTTCACATGAAATGGCGGTAATTCTTCAGTCGGTAAGGTAGAAATATGTAGAGCGTTTTTGATTGTAATGGCGTCGAAACTTCAATGGAATTCTATTGCACCATATGGAAAATCGGGTATTTGCGTTTCCACGTCAAAATATCAATGTACAGTCAGGAAGCAATTGGTAAAACCAAAATAATAAGTAAGAAAACTTAGGGAGTACGAAAGTAGCCGCAAAACGGCCTTAAACTTGTAAGATAAATCCGCAGCAATGCGTCATCAGCGAAATTGGAAGTAAGATGATAAGAGAAAACTTCACTAATCTTAATACACACCACTATTTAATCCCATCAAGGTAGACAAATATGTCAAGTAAGTGTAATGGCGTGTAGTTCAAATACAAGTCAAGATCGAATCGAGTTCTTCAACAAGGACTGCGCGCGTCGACAGTGAGTGGGAGAAGATAACCGCGCCAATCAACAGAAAACTAGACAAAAGGTTTTTTTTAAAAGAAAACTATATCGCAAATAAAGGATCGGGTTATAATGTGAACACCTAGATGGCGTAAGGATTGCTATATAAAGGTAAGAGTTCGCATAATGTTATTCGAGAAGGATTCCACATAGTAATTCAAATATAAGCCAAAGCAAAGATTACACGGTAAAGAAAATAACGTCACAAGTCTGCCTAAAAAATGTTGAAGTTGCGTAAATGATGTGTCAAACATAAATCGTAGGTATACAAATCTATTAGTGGGCGTTGCTACTTAACTAATGGTATACATTATTATCGAGTTCTAGTTCATTATGTAATTTAGGAACTAAATGTTTTCTATTTAGATTGTATAAATGCATCCTTAAAAAAACCTACAATTATAGAGAAGAGAAACGTTAAGAAAATAGCAGATTAAATTTCCTCAGGCCGAGATCTTATTAGCACGGCAATGATCAATCTATCAACTCCGAAAAGCGTTAAAACGAAAAAAAGGTCACAAATTAAGTGCTGTGCGAAAAGTTAGGCACTAACCACATATAAAAGAAATATACTAGACAGGCTATGATTAAATACGTCGCATTTGTGTTTTAGCTTTATTACCTACCTTTAGGTACGGTACGACTTTTTCAACGTTAAGTGGCTTTTCGAACTAAAAGCGTATAGCTACCAAAAAAAAAATTTAATTGGCTCGTTTCGATGCT